AATTTATATTTATAAATCATATTATAAATTATATTATTATATTCTACATACATACTTATGAGTAGGATATTACCTACTGTCATGAGTAGTATTACATACACAATATACATGACTTTACTCTAGACAATTTCAAAGATGCTTGGAGGTGCTCTCTACAAGAGAAGGTGTGTAAGTGGGAGACTCATGTCTGTCTCATGGGAAGTCACCACCCCAAGGCTCACTCAATCTTTTAGGTGCTGTTCTAAGTCACCTGCATTCTCACCATCCAATCACATCTTCTGGTTGGGAATCTGACCTCCCTATTGGCTACCTCAGCTCTTTCAACTGCCTTCTGTGTGATGTCATCCAACTGCCAACTTACCATTGGCTGGGGAAATGTTTTGAATTTCCGTGGAGTAGTCTGAAGGGACATCTGGGTCGTGGTTAAGTGGACGGTGTGACCAGTGCTCTTCCCACTGAATACTTGTTCAATTCAGCTTCAGCCACCTAGATATCCTTCATTACCCTCTCGTCCTTTGTATCTCCAATTGCCGTTACTGCTTCTCTGACCATGTCAGGTAAGGACAGTTAAGTTCAGAGGTCTTCGACATTACACATTCCCTCCTCTCCCAAATCAGTTTGCTAGTGGGGACCAAATACTTGGGAAACTGGAGGAAGGTCTTGAACTGGAAATCTACAGACTTAATTTCATTTATGGCTTAAATCTTTAGTAAGGATAGGACTTTGAGTAGATGATTTACTCTTTTTTTTTTTTGGTACCGGGGATCAGACTGGAGTCCTTGGGTTTGCGCAGCAGGCGGCGAAACTGCTGAGCTAATTTCTGGCCCTGATTTACTCTTAAATAAAAATGTTTCCTCAACTGCTCCCTGAGGATGACCAACTGCCTATGCTTTGTTCCCTTTCTATTCTAACAGAGCCTTAAAGGTTGTAGGTAGGAACAGAAACTCTAATCCAAGACATATTAAGTGTGTTTGTTTCAACAGAAAATAATGAGATAAAAAACTTAAGTGGGGTAGAAAACTGCCACTATTTCATCACTGGCAGTCTCCCTACACTAGTATTTCCACTTTTACTGTGATGATATTCAAAATGAACTATTCTTATATTCCAGAGATTTCTGTCTGAACAGGGTGAAAACACAAACAGGGAGACACTAAGATCAAAGGGCTGGGCTATAACCAGGCTGATACTGGAGAAGAAGGACAGTTGGAAGGGTTTCTGTGAAGCAGAGGCCAACAGAAAGTGCCTGGAATTGGAGGGAGAAGGAGGGGAAAGCATGCAAAATTAAAGGGGAGAAAAATAACAAAAAGAAAAGAGATGGAGGGCATGGGGACATTCTCCAGAAAGGAAGGTGATAGTGTGTGGGCTAGAATCTTGGAGACCACCAAAGGCTTCAAGGGACCACGGAAAGAACAGAGTGCAGTTTCTTAAGACAAGGGCAGAACAAGGTGGGCTTGCCCAATGTTGCCTTTAATGGTGTAAGAGGGAAACTAAGGCTAGCTTAGGGTTTCCCTTGGAGAATGCACCTCATCAGAAATGTCATGGTCTGATTGCTTTGTTCCTCTGGCTTATACCAACATAGATGCCACCTGATAATACTTTAATGTGAGCATTTTGGTTGTTTCACACACAATTCTTCCTATATACATGCTAAAAACTCATCATCCAGAGGGCCAGGGAAACAATTTTCA